TGGCTCCTACCTCAAAGCACACTGTGCGCTGTCGATCTTACGTGCTGCACAATGATGTTTAATATTTACTGTTATAATCACATAGATCATCGTGATGTTTTTTATTATATTGCTTTTTTTTCTTCTGCTTTTCTCTTTTTTCTTTCTCAACAGGTGATCCAGGTGATTGATATATGTATTTTTTTGTTTGCTTATTTTGTTGGTTTTTGTTTTTTGCCCTTTATCCCCGTCCCTCTTCCCCGCTGTTTTTCTTTCCCTCTTTCTTTCTCCCCTTTCTTTTCCCCAGTCAAGTCTGTCCCGTATTTAGCAAGTGAAAATAAAATAAACAAAAGGTGAATCAAATAGACCATTACAGCAAGGCTGGGATGGTCCATTTGGCAAAGTAAATCCGTTGGGCATCTTTCTTTGCCTTTAGACAATAATTCTGATGGCAAAAGAGCCAAACGGGACAGGCAAAAAAAAAATAAAAAAAAGTCTCGTCAAGTGCTAACAACAACTCAGCTTCAACCTGGGACATTATTTCTGTTTGCAATATTCAAATCCATACAAACACATTTATATTTGAGGTGAATTTCACAGTTTTAGTTTTTCTGGATTGAGCAGTTTGTGCCAGTGTTACGTTCCCCTGATGGGTCTAGGCGGTGAGGGGAAAGTAACAAAAAGTGACCGGGTCAGAAAAAGGAGTCAAGGAGGCAAAAGGGTTAAATCAAAGAGTTTTATTAAAGTTCCCTTTCAAACTCAACTAAAAGAGACGGACAAGCCGCTATCACCATTTAAGAAAAACAAAACTCAGGCGTTGGTCAATAAAGTAAAACGTAAGCCAAAAAGAAGGAGAGCAGCTCACTAGCTGCAAACCACAATAACACAGCTCACTAGCTGTAACCACTCACAAACACACACACAGCTCACTAGCTGCAAACACCACAAACACGCACAGCTCACTAGCTGCAACGGCACTCTGGCCCAGAGCTCACCTTTCCCTGGGCTTAAATCTCCTTAATTACTGACTCACGTCAGTAATTAAGAGTCAGTAATAAAAGGGAAAGGTGGCACCTCAGGCAGAAGAGGTAGTGTGACACGCCCACACAGGCACCTTCAGGAGGAGGCCCAGCTAGGGCCGTAACACCAGTGAACAACTGTTTGAAACTTGCTGGTGGCAAGGAAACCCACTTCGTGTTGAATACAAAACGACATACGTTCCAGAGTCGTCTGTTTCTAATACCAGTTGTGCTAACAAGACAGCACAAAGACAGAAGGTGTATTTCAAGAGTTGTTTTTTCCCCTCTAATACTAAATAAAATGATTTATACATATCTACAACACACCCTTCTATATCAATTATATAATACTGCATGTATACTATGTACATAAACTAGTGTTGTAAAATAAACGTTTAAAGTTTCATTTGGTCTTCAAAGTTTACGTTTTCGATTTTGTCTCATTTCAGGAAAAAAAAAGTGAAACTATAAAACATACACAGATGCTCCAAATATTAAAACAAAAAGTGAGAGTGGACATGAAAGACATCTATCTTTAAACAACCAGGCAGGTCAGAATTGTTCACATAAGACACTAAAGACACTCAGCAGTTACAGAATCACTGGAATAATGAGACACAATCTTTAAATTCTTAAGAAATCCCTCATGTAGACGTTAAACGTGATTTAGCCCTGTGTTTCTCTCTGTCAGTGTTGCGTCACCCCCTCATGCTGTGTGTGTTTCCCTCTGTGCTCCTAGTCTCTTGTCTCCAGGTTTGTCTGAGAGCCTGCAGATTTGTCTGTGCATCTGCAGTTACACAGCTTATCTAACAGAAGGAGATACTTCTACCTGCACAGAACACAGACGCACTGAGGAACCACATGAATGGTGCCAGACTCCAAAGCCAGGATAAAGAGGTTCAGTGCATGTGGTGTTGAAGGTGTGGAGGTGGATCAGAGAGTCACTGGAGACATTGTAGAAGGACAGAGTGCCAGCAGGACAGTCCACATACACTGCTACTCGATTAGGGCCACAGGAAGGGGACAAGGAGGATGAGGGGTGAATGACTGATATTCTCTGATTGTGATACACAGTGTAGCCGCGGGCATTAGAGCAGTCCAGACTCCAGGACTGAGGATTCTCTCCAAATCTGCAGTTTTTTCGTTCTCCTTTCCTTGCTATTCCTCTGTAACTTACTGATATGTCAACCTCACCTGTCCACTCCACCTCCCAGTAACACCGACCATGTAAAACATCTTTACACAGCAGCTGACACCAGTCAACAAATCTGTCAGCATGATCGGGATATATGAAGTTGTTTCTCGTATGTGTCACCTTCATGTTATTCATAGACAGTTTGAGATTTTTGTTTATTGTATTTGTGTTGACTGTAAGTTTAGAGAGATCTGTCAAGAAAAGAGACAATGCAGCTGCAGTTAATCTACCAGCTGTTCCTTTAACACTTCACAGTATCAGTGATAATCTTAAGAGAATGACACCAAAATATAAAGACAGCTTAATATTTACTGTTTTATCTTTATGAATTAAAAAAACAAAACACTTACACTTCTTCAATCCTGGTTTCAACCACTCTGCTCCAGCAGGTTCCACCCTGAAATGACAAATATCAGCACCATATCTTTCAACATGCAAAAACAGAAATTACATCCAGTGTATCAACACCCATTGTGCTCAGTCATTAACAATAATGTCATCTCATCAACCTTAGGTTTTCCAGTTTCCAGCGTTGATCCTTTACTCCAGTCTGAAGCTCTACTCCTGCATCCTCTGGATGATTGTAACTCAAGTCCAGCACTTTCAGATGAGAGGGGTTGGAGTTCAGAGCTGAGGCCAGAGAAGCACAGCCATCCTTTGTGATCAAGCAGCCCGAAAGCCTGGAGGCACACAAAATGAGGCTGGATAAGCTACTAAAGCAACAAAACGCTGACGTACTGTGATCTATCATTTAATTAAGCTGATTATTATTATCATCACATTTTGTTTCTTTAATTATAATCCAGACCATTAACTTCAACCAATAATCAGGTGTCCCAATAGAAAACGTAATAAAAATAAATATTATAATATAACAATGTAAGCAGAGAAACAGTCATCTTAATTCACAGTGTAAATACTGATTGTAGAGGCTAATCTTAACCTGAGAGTTTCCAGTTTGCAGTGTTGACTTTCCAGTCCAGTGGACAGTGCCTTCACTCCTGTATCCTTCAGGTTGTTGTTATTCAGGTCCAGCTCTCTCAGACTCGATGACTGGCAGGAGAGAGCTGGAGAAAGAGCTTCACAGCTTTTTTCTGACAGGTTGCAGACACTCAGTCTGAAAAGACCATAATGAATAGGACACAATGATTGGTTTGAATAAACAAATAATCTAATAATGAGCATAAAATCTTATCAACTACAGTGGTATGCAAAAGTTTGGGCACTCCTGATAATTTTCATGTTTTTCCTTCATAAATCATTGGTTGTTTGGATCAGCAATAGTGTGCAATAGTTACTTAAACTAAATTAGGCAGGTACATAAATTTGGGTACCCCAACAGAAAAATTACATCAATATTTAGTAGATCCTCCTTTTGCAGAAATAATGCCTCCAAACACTTCTTATAGCTTCCAATGAGAGTCTGGATTCTGGTTGAAGGTATTTTGGACCTTTCTTCTTTACAAAACATCTCCAGTTCAGTCAGGTTTGATGGTTTCCGAGCATGGACAGTCACACCATAGATTTTCAATAATATTCAGGTCTGGGGACTGAGATGGCCATTCCAGAACATTGTACTTGTTCCTCTGCATGAATGCCTTAGTAGATTTTGAGCAGTGTTTAGGGTCATGGTTTGGCGCAACATATTAGAAAACAAAATTGGCTTTTAAGTTATCTTACTGTCAAATCATACATTTTTATACAGATACTTTAAAAATCTCAGATTATTTGTAAATAATAGGCTCAGATTATTTACAAACTCTACTGTACAATACATTTTTTCCTATAATTTTCTATGAGGGTCATAGTGATGTACAAATACAGGTAGATGTTTTATTGAAATCACATCCCAGACAATTTACACAGGATCAAATGAGGTAAGGGTAAAGCACAGTAAGCTGAACTTTTCAGGGGACAGCACTAGTTCAGAATTCATACCTTGTGATTTAAAAGGCACTGAGAGAATTTTTAGATAATGTCTTGTATAAATAACTGAATTAAGAAAACCATGTACCCATAAATTGAATAAATATATTTGATTCATGCAAGCATGTATACTGTGGTTAAGTGCTCTATATGCCATTAGCAATCATGAAGTAACTCAAATGGCTCCAGATGGCCAAATATAAAAATGTTGGTACTTGTATCTGCTTTTAAAGGATCGATAAAGTTTTCTGCTGTGCTGTTTTACTCCCATAGCTATTCCTCAAAGTCACAACATTCAATTTAATTCAGTTTTATTTATACAGCATCATATCACAACAACAGTGCTCAAGTCACTTTATATTGTAAGGCATCCCCCCTTCAATAAATCTGTGGCTATATGAAAATCTGTGGCAATGTCAGACTCTGTAGTTTTCTCTGGTCCCCTCCCCAATCAGACCAGGAGTGACATGTTTAGCCG